AGCCCCTCGGGCGCACACCCAGGATACCCGGGGGTGAGCCGCTGGAGCAGGGAGGGGCGCGCGCCTTCCCGGCCCAGCGGGGCTCTCCTCGTCCCGGGCTGACCCTCGTTGCGCTGCAGCTCCCGCGTCGCCCGAGCAGGCTGAGGCGCGTGGGCATCGGGGGGCGACGCTGCGGAGCTGCCCGCCCCCGCCGCCAAACGAGACCTGGAGCCGGCGGGGCTGGTCTGCAGGGATCCGGACGGAGCGGCCAGGAAGGCTCTGGCGGCCCTCGGGGCCTCTGCAGCCCAGGTCCGGTGGCTCTAACGAGACCTCGTTTCGCTGCTCAGCAGGAGACTCTGGGGCCTTGGGGGTGCGTTCGTATTCGGAACAATTTAAGTTCTGGCCGCGGTTCCCCCGTGGCCGCTTGGAACGGGGGATTACACCGCCCATCAACCCCAACCCGCAGCCGCTGGGGAAAGGCTTGTTCTGTAAAAGCCCAGCCAAGCCTCTTCCTTGCACTCGAGATGCTGCCATTCATGTTTTGCGGGCGGCTCGTCCCTGCTTCGGGTTGCCACCAGACGGCGCTCTCCTGCGCTCTCTCTTGCTCTCCCGCGACGCGCGCGTTCTGGCCAGATAGTGGCGCTGCAGCGCGACCCAACACGGAAGCGTTTCCATCCCGTCCTTTGGTCCGAGCGCCTTTGCTGCTTGGCTTTCTCTGCTCTGAAAAATGCACCTTCTTAAACCTTTCTGCATAGTTTCTCCTCGCAAAGGAAAATCCCAGCCATGTCCATGCTGCTGTTGCGACGTGCTCCGAGATTCCTGTCTGGCTTAGTGAACCTGGGAAGCGTTTTTGACTCCTGCGGGGTCACAGGCAAGTCTTCAGTCTCCCCCACGCCTCCCAAACTTTCCTCATTTTCTGATCCCTGTCAAAAAGTAAAGCCCTTTTGTTGTAGGGGAACGGATCATACAGTAGTCATGATGATTTACTGTACGTGCATTCTTACCAATACACTAACATTAGCAATGGCACGTTTTAATTCAATTTCATTTTCATTGATGAAACTTGTATGCTGCCCAACTCTCAGGGACTCTGGGTGGCTCACCACAATCAAAGAAAGAAATTACAATAAAATCAATAAAGCCTGACAACATTTTCTAGACCTAGCCAAAACAACAGTGCAGTATTTTGTTGGTGTTAACAGTGATGAAGATACCCAGTGAGAAACGGATGGCTCTTTGTGGCTGGAATCTTTAATCAAATCCCAGGGCAAAGGAATACAAGTTAAGACCTCATCATGTCAGGGAGGAGTATTCTTGTAATCCCCAATTAAATTCAACATGTTTATTGTGTTGAAATGTAACTTTCTTTGGTGGAGACAGATTTGAATAGAGGAAGAGGTCAAAGATGAGGATGTCCTCATGCAAGTGTCACTCCTCCAGGTGGGAAGTAGGAAACTCTGTACAGAGGTCATTCGGTCATTCGAATGGCATTAATGTCAACCAACGTCAACCTTGGTGAAAGGGGCAAAAGAACAAAGGTTTCTGGCAATTTTCATACTTTGAAAGGAGACACTAATCCAGAAGTGTTTATCATTAGGACCCCAATAGTCTACATACAGAATATCAGTAATAATAGATAACCCAGGAGAAATGGGATCCGGTAAATGTTGCTTGTGTTTTGACTACGCTTCAGGGCTTTGGGAAGTTAGGAAAAAAAACTAAAGTCTTGAAGTCTTTCTGATTCTCGAACCCTAACCCTCTCTCTTCCATACAGGACACGCAGTCTGCCATGCCGGCCACCTCTCAGCCACCAGGAGCCCCATGGAAGAAGAGAGCAATTTTGTACTATACCCAAACCATATTCCCACCAGCCTCTTGCAGAAATGCTTGCTGACAGCCGGCTCGGCGTTCATGGCTCTCTACAACCCCTATCGCCACGGTGAGCTGGGCGTCGGGGTGTTGTAGAAACGGTGAAGACCCACCAGCTGTATGGCCCGATGGCCTACCGCCTGGTCTAGGTTGGATCGCAATTTCCGTAATTGTATCCCAGGCCCATGTATCTGGCTGGGTGCAGGTTGGGGTTGGCTGTGCTCTGCGAACACGGGCGTCTTCAGAGTTTCTGGGGCAGGAGGAGAAGCCTAAGACTATAATGGCTACATTGTACAAATGTCTCCTCTTTTTCCTTCCTTCTTCCCTGCTTCTTCCAGATATGGTAGCTGTTCTTGGGGAGACCACAGGCCCCCTAGCTTTAAAGAATCTCTGGGAACAGATGAAGACTCATCCAGAAGGAAATCAGATCCTACAGTAAGTGAATCTGTATCTTTTTACCTGCAGTCTGGACAAGGTGATGGTGCATGGATGGGTAATCCTTGTGGTCAAACCCACCTTTGTGAATTAGCAAATACTCTTTTGCTGTTGGGGGCATAAGGTCAGGAAGCTGTATGCATTAGAAGTCAGTCCAGTTGAATTCTAGCATGACCAAGGCTGGTCTACTGATATTGGTGGACTTCACACGTTGTGCTTCACCAGGGCTCTTTGACAAAGCCACCACTGATCTAAAAAGGTGAATCTTGGTTTACAAACTACCATAGCTGGGTTGACAGATCCATTAAACCAATGGAACTTGAAATTCAGCTGGATTGGGGCCTGTGTGTCTAATTAAAGAGATGCCAACTGTCCTCTTCGCTGCGTATCCAACGTCTGGTTTCATGGGCTGAACTGCCTGTATTCCGTTGATTTCCTTTGCAGAGAACGGCCTCAGATCCGTCTTTCCACCCTGGATGTAGCTGGACTTCGGGCGCTTCCTGATGGGACTTTTGGCCGGGAATACATTCGGTTTTTGGATGATAATGTGGGTACCGTGCTAATGTGGGGACCTGCTTCTCATTCTTACGGAGCTGAGCAGGAGCTGAAAAAGCTACAAAGGAACGCTATCTTTTCTCAGCCCTCAGTCAGAAGATTGTCTGCATCTGAACAATTCTTACAGACTTGTCTTAACCTCCAGATCCCAGGGATTTAAATAATAATTTAAGTAGCAACAGATAGGAGTTAGTCTTTTACAAGAGTTCAAACATAACGGAGGCACCCAGGGGTGTGTGCGTGAGGCCTGCGCCTTCGCCCTTATCTCTGGCCCTTCCCAAATTCCACTTAGGGAATTAATATCTGCCTCCCCCCTTTTTTTTGTTTCTGGCGGGCAGAGGGTTTCTCCAGACACAAGGATGCCAGCCCGGTTCGTCGATGACGAAGAACTGGCCTACGTCGTCCAGCGCTACCGTGAAGTCCATGATCTGATGCACACGCTCCTTAACATGCCCACGAACATGCTTGGTGAGTGTCTTACAGTGGTCCTTCTTGCTTACCTGCGTCTCGCTGTTCTCCACTCCACGAGTGAGTGTCAGGCCTTAGGCCCAGGGCAGGGAAAGGCAGGACTTGAGAAGGACCACGCGTGGGCAACCGAGGTCAACGTTTGCCAAAAGGGAAAAATGGGTTCAGGTTCAAGGCTGGGTTAACATTCTCAATATGCTGGTACTTTCATTTGCATAAGCAGGAAGCAGTTTTCAGATGAGGCTTTTATTGTGTCGTTGCTCTGAAAACACCAGTTGCCTGCTCTTTAAACACATACTTATGTGATGTTCTACTTTCCCCAATTCT